GGAGGAGGAGGAGGAGGAGGAGGAGGGATCTAGGAGGAGGAGGGAGGGAGGAGGAGGAGGATTTAGGAGGAGGAGGCCACGGCCGCCCACCCGGCGAAGCCCCTGCGGACCCACCCAACCCCACGGGGGCACCGACGAGGCGCGCGAGCGGCCGCCCACCGGGCGAGGCCCTGGCGGGCCCGCCTCCGGTGGCTCACGGGGCGCCCCCGAGGCGCCCACGGCCGCCCGCCGGGCGAGAACCCCCCCAGCGGGCGCGGCAGCAGTGCCTCGCGGATCTCGCGCGCGCCGCTCGCGGACCCGAGCCCAAAAGGAGCCTCGCACGGTAGGTGCAGCGCGGGGGGAGGGGACGTGGGCCGCTCGTCTAGAGGAGTGCGCACGGCTCATGTCCAGTTCTTCGAAGGCTTTTTGATTCTCTGGGGGGCCAAGATCCTGCCATTTCTGATGGTTCTATTATGGGCCTCTTCCTGGCCACCAGGGGGCCAGGAACAATTAGAAACGAGCACAATTAGAAATGAGCACGACTAGAAATGAACGACGTGTACGCGAAACCCTTGTGAGCGGTACATGACGGGCACGCAACGGCCATCATAGGCATCTCGCAGCAGGGCCAGCATAGGCCGTCGCATTCAACATATTCGGCGACGCGGTTCGGGGCCAGGTGCACATCTTAGCGGTCCACGAGGCAGGCATCAAAGCCGCATGCTGTCAACACGACCCAGCCCTTTCGAGCCGTCGCCGAGTGCCGCCATCATAGGCATCCAGAGGGGCGCATATGCACCTCGCTCCGAATTCGAGACCATCAGGAGATCTAATTGTTTTCTCCGCATCCTAAGTGTTTTGTCGTTCTCGTTTTCTCTGGACACCCCGCGCGGGAACAAGAAGGAACCCACATATCATAATCCTCATCATCATCATCATCAGCAGCATCATCCTTTCCATCACCATCACCACCATCATCATCACCACCATCATCAGCATCATCATCATTATCAGCATCACCATCATCATCACCATTATCATCATCAGCATCAGCATCAAAATCAGCATCAGCATTATCATCCTCATTATCATAATCATCATCATCATCATCATCATCATCATCATCATCATCATCATCATCATCATTGTCCTCGTCATCGTCATCATCATCATCATCATCATCATCATCATCATCATCATCATCATCTGTCATCCCACTGCATCATCATCAACAACATCACGATCATCATCGACATCGCAGTCCGAGCGGGTTATCCAAAAACGTATAGTTGTCGTCTCGTTTGGGCTCCTGAGGCCTGAACATGGAGGAAGTCTCGAGCGGGAACCTCGTCTGCGAGTTAATGGCGTGAAGTCTCCGGCGGGATCCCCTCCTTATGGGGTACGCAGCTCGCGTTCGAATGCGAGACGGGTCATGCTCAAACATGTAAAAGTCGTCACTTTTTGGCGCCTGAGGCTTGAGCTTGAACATCGTCTGTGAGCGAATTGCTGGAACATCGTATGAGGCTCCAGAACTTGAAGTGGGCTCCTGAGGCTCCAAGCGGTAGCATCGTCTGTGAGTGAATTGCGAGGAAGTCTCAGTCGGGAGGGTACGCAGCCCACATTCGAATCCGAGGCCCGTCATGCTCAAGCTTGTAGCTGTCGTCATTTTTGGGCCCCTCAGGATTAAATTCGTTTGCCCAATTGGTCAGAGGCGTGCTAAGATCTCCGGTAACTGCGTACAGTATTTCTACTTCGCGCGCGCGGAGCGGCCTCTGGGGGTCCCCGGACGAAAAGTCCCCAGGCGGTCCCTGGCCGGTTCGTGTCAGAGATCCGCGGCCGGGTCGGGTCGGATGGGCGCCGCCCTCGAGGCCCTCCAGGAAGCCCCAAGAAGGGCCAAGAGGCCCCCAAGAGGCCCCCCAAGATAGAACGAGAGGGCTCCGAGATGCCACAAGATCGCCCCAAGATGCCCAAGATTGCCCCCAGACGCCCCAAGAGGCTTCCAAAAGCACGCAGTTTCCCTTAAGAGAGAGAAGTATGAACCTCCAAGTGCAAACACTTCTAGGGGGAATCTGTATATCTGCATGTTCCTTATCGGATAAGCCCTAAAGACGACCTCGGCAGCTCCAAGAAGTGCAGCATTGTCTGCCCCCCCCAAGTTGGCCCCATCAGCCGAAGCAGTTCACGAGGGCCCCGCGTCAGCCCACGAGGCTTTCAAGACAGCCCGCGATGGCCCCCAAAGCGGCCCTGGAGGCCACCTCCGTATAGCCAGTTAGGCTCAAGCCACTTTGGCTCGAGGCGCCTTGGCCCTGCGGGGGTCCGCGCCCCCGCCTTCGGCACGCCGCCCGCTCGCTCCCGCGCGCCCTCCGCGGGGGCCGCGCGCACATGGCACGGCGCCCGACCAGGTGCTCTCCAAGCAGCGCCCCGGCAGCCTGCTTCGAGGCTGAAGTCGGGCCTGTCCCTCTATGCAGGAGGAGTCTCAAGAAGGAGTCAAACAAAATAGTCTGGGGGCGATTCTTCTACGATCTGTGTTGCCCTTTTTGCTTTTTTTTTTGCTGGCTTTTGTTTAAATAAGTCGTCCCAAATCTGCTGGTAGGGGGACGTGCCCGACCTAATTCGAGGCCTTCGGCGCTCGGGGCCGCAGGCGGTGGGAGGAGGAGCGGTCGCGCGACCGGGAGGAGTTGGCCGAGGCCCAGAGGGCCCGGGAGGCCATGGAGAGGGAGCGCGACGGGGCGCGGCAGGAGCTCCGGGCGCTGCGGGAGCACGACGAGGAGTCGCGGGAGGAGCTCCGGCGGGCGCAGGAGGCCCTGCGGAGCATCCACGCGGAGCGAGAGGCGAGGCAGCAGGAGTCCCTGGAGGAGATCCGCAGCCTGGAGCGGGAGCGGGACGAGTGGAAGCGGGTCGCGGAGCGGGAGCTCAGCCACCCGCGGTGCCTGCCGAGCTGCGGCCCCCCGGGCTGCCTGCCGGGCTCGTGGTGGCCCCGCCGCGGGCGCGACGCCCGGCCGGCCCGGCTGGAGCACCGGCGCCAGAGCAGCAACGGCTCGGACCCGGCCGCCAGCCCTGAGGGGCTCCGCCGCGTGCTGGCGCGGCGCAGGAGCACGCGGCACGTGCGCCAGGCGGGGTCCATGTCGATGCGACCGATGCGGTGCGACATCTCGGGAAGACAGCTGTCGGGTTGGTAGGGGACAGGGTTGGGAGAAGTGAGGGCATCATTGCCCGCAGGCGGCCGGCAGTATAGCGTTCGTTGCATCCGGATGCTGTTGCTCATGCGCTTCAACTTCCCAAACCCTCCCCCCCAAACGCGATATTTTTTCTCTTCGGCATCGGCTCTGTCGGCCACGCGCCGAGGGGGGCCAGGGAAGGGGGGCAGGCTTCTCAGAGGCACCCCTGCTGCTTCGAAGGCGCGGGCCTTGTCTGTAGATGTATGGCCGGCGCCTCCTAAGAAGCAGCCTCGTCCTGACAAGCCTCCCCCTCCCCACTACCCCCTTTCGCGCGCCGCTCACGCTGGCCGGCCCGATTCGCTTCGCTTCCGATATTCGGGCGATCCGAGGCTGCCCGATGCCTGCATGGCGCCGCTGTGCATCCTGGCGCCGCCGCTTCGACCCGTCTCCGACTCTCCGAGCCGATGCGGGTCGATTCGCGGCACATTCCCTCGGATGCGCCAGGGAGGTCAAATTCTGATTCTTCCCTGCTCTGAAATCTGGCTTCATCCAGCACGTTCCCGCCTAATCCGGCTCAATCCCGCTTGCTCTGGCCCAATCCCGCTTAATCCGCGGCCCGATCCAGCGTAGTAGCCCCCCCCCCTGGTGGGGCTCAATCCTCCTTGATTCTTTCCGACGGAGACAGTTGCTTCCGAACGTTCCGCTCCGATCCGATTTCCCGCCTCGGTGCTGGCGGCTCCCGGCCAGGGCAGCAACACCTCCGACGTCGCCCCGAGGGAGCACCTGGGCAGGGCCGCCGTGCCAGAGGGGCCGGCGGCGGGGAGCAGCGCGGAGCTGCTGAACTCCTTGGTGGCCACGGAGTGGAAGTTCGTCTCGCGCTGGCTCTGCTGGACGAACATCGGATTCGTCATGGCGCCAGCATCGCAGAGTGGATGTCGTTCGGAGAACGATAGGATGGGCCTGGAGTGTCCTGGAGAGTTTCGTTTTGGATTTCGAGGTGAATTTCGTGCGGATTTTTCTGGGGGAAGGAATGAAGACTAAAACACATCCACGCGAAATTCACTTCGTGTTTCACTCTCCGTTTCGGGGTTGCGCATTGGCAGAGATCCGTGCAAAAAAAACGCTGCAGCACTTCTGCAAGGTCGGTGCAGTGAGGATTCGGGCTCATGTTGATTCGGGCGTGTCCTCTACAGGAGGAGTGCTCAAGAACTGTCAAAAAGTAGTCGGGGAACTATTTTCCGTGTTTTGTTTGGAGTTATGGTTGACAATGTTTTGCCCATTTTTCATTTGTCCTCCAAAATCTGCCTGTAGGAGGACATGCCCGACCTAAGGCGAATGGGTCCTTGGCAAAGGGTCACAGGCTATTTTTCTCCCGCAGACCCCGACTTTTCGACGGAAAAAGGAAGCCGCTCAGATGAGGAGGGAAGCCTTGGGATGCACTCCAAGGGGGCTGTTCGAACGCACCCCTATCGAGGATGGACGCCCCCCCATCGTATACCCCAGGATTGGGCCCCAAATTGTTGCTCCATTGGAAAACGTTACGAGGCCTGGGATAGGGGTCGACGTCTCCCTGTTAAAGGGGGGTTCAAACATGTACGCAATAGTTCGTGCAATCGTTCGTGCGGGATGCGCCGTACATTATCAGCACGTGGCTGCCACGCGCCATGCGTCACAGGATGAACTATTGCATTTTGTTTGTTTGCGACCCCATTACGAAGGATCCTATGTGCCCGGAACCAAGAACAGTGCGCGCCCGCACCCATGGGTGTCGAGTAGGGGATCGACTACAGAATGGAGTTTCCCCAGGCATGATTTTCGCGTCGAATAGACGAAAACGCATGCAAATCTAATTTACGTAAACCTACGAAGCAATCTCTTTGCATGTTTCGCAGATTCGATTGCAAAATCAATTGCGGGGCACATCAATCCTGCAGTCGACCCCCTACCAATAGGTGGGACGGGGGGATATATGGGTGCGTATTGTCGGGTGGTGCTGCCCGCTCGCACGGGAACCCCGCCTGGGGTCCGACAACCCGCACTCATACCCGTCGCCAGCCCTCCTCCCGACCCACCCATGGGTATGGGCAAGTGTTGCTCGTTCATCAGGTTCGGGCAGAGGATGAAGGACTCGGTGGAGCCCCTGCTCCACGAGCTCGTGAACAACTGGATAAGGTAGGTTCTTGTCGTGTCGACCGGTGGTGACCCCGCCGCGGGCGTTCAACGTTGAACGCCGCTGGCGACCCAGACTCGGTATGATGTTTCGGAAACGGCCGATGCCCGCGATGCCAGAGACCAGCGCCGAGGTCGGCACGACACGAATATGCCGCAAGGGAGAAAGCCATCGGGACGATCACGCCTGGCGTCACGGTGACCATCGGGAACCACTGCAGTCTGGGCAGCGAGCCGCTCAGGATCACCGACGTTCAGACCAAGACTTACACGGAGAAGTTGACCGACCAGAGCGGCGAGGACATCGAGAACATGCAGATCATTGGATTGCTCGATTTCCACAGCAGCAAAGCAAACGTGGACATAAGCTTCAAGAGCGGCGTGGAGCTCGGCAAGGTCGTCGTGACGGATCTGAAGGTCACGGGAGAGGTCGTGGTCGAGCTCGTCAAGCTCTCCCACGCCCCCCCGTGGTTCAGTGGCGTGCGCATCTTCTTCCCGAACCCGCCGCAGGTGGACCTCGACGTGCGCTCGCAGCTGCTGCAGACCCCCGTCCCCCTGTCGTTCCTCAAGCCGATGATCACGACGGCCATCAGCGACAAGGTGATCAGCCGCTTCGCGGTGCTGCCGAACCGCTTCTGCATCGCGCTGGGCGGGGACCGTATCGACGAGTTCCACCTGCAGCATCCTGTGCCGCAGGGCGTGCTGCGCGTGGCCGTCCTGCGGGCGAAGGACCTGCGGAGCTGCCGGGGGCCCTCCTCGTCCTGGTGGCCCTTCGCCCGCTCGCAGGGCGCCGCGCCGACGGCGGACCCGTACGCCACGCTCTCCGTGGGCGCCTTCTGGGCCCAGACGCCGAAGAGGCAGAACACCCTGAACCCCGAGTGGGACGATGCCCAGGAGGTGTTCGACCTCATCGTCACGGACCTCGAGAAGCAGTCCCTGCGCATCGAGGTGCTCGACGGGGACTCCGGGCTGTTCATGGGCCGGGCCGAGGCCTCCCTGGAGCAGCTGACGACGGAGGGCTCCGACCGCCAGGATTAAGTCGGGCACGTCCCTCCACAGGAGGAATACTCAGAAATAGTAAAAATAATGGTCTGGGGACGATATGTTTTCTTATTTTAAACGATTTTCGAATATGCTTTGACTATTTTTAATTTTTCGTCGGAAATCCGCCTGGAGGGGGTCACGCCCGACCTAACGCCAGGAGCTCAAGCTGCATCCAGAGGCGGGACGCTCCTCCATGATGGCGCAGGCACGCGGGTCGATCTCCGTGCGGACACAGTGGCGCCGCTTCGCGCAGCAGCACGAGATCCAGCCGAACCCAATCCACCAGGACTCGGGTTGACCCAAAAGGGGGTCCAGCGACAAGAGGGGGGTGCAATAGGTTTGGTGCAATAGATGTGTGTGGTTAAAATACAGTTGGGGCGTGCAGTATATTCCGTGGCGCAGATGTATCAATTGGTTTTCAAGTGCAACGCATTACTTGCAATGCAATGCAATACAACTCTCCAGCGCAATAAACTTGCAATACAATAGCCCCAAATCTATTGCACCACCCCCTTTCAGCTGGACCCCCTTGTGGGTCACCCACAAGGACGAGAACAGCTCTTGGGGGCTTGGGAGCCGGACGAGCCCGAAGTTTCTGCTGGTGGCAGACCTGCTCAGCGCATCCGGCCTCCCGCCCGCCGACGACGGGACGGACCACTGGGTCACCGTTGCGGTGTCGAACTGCGGGGGCTCGGGGGCAACCTTCTTGCCCCGAAGCTCGTACCCAGCTGGCGAGTCGCCTTCCGCGCAGGCACACACTGCAGTCCAGCACGGAGTGGAGATGCTTGGCAAGCTCGGTCTCCCGCCGGACGCCATGTGCCAAGGAGATCTGCGGAATCTCTGGCGTCGGCGGGTGCCGCTCGAGGAGGCCGCCGCGGAGCAGGAGAGGAGGGGCAAGCTGCTCACCGACGTGGTGTGGAATTACCCCTTCTGGATGCTGCTGGACAGGGCCTGGGGCGCCCGAGTCAAGGTGAGCGTGTGGCGGCCCATGAAGGGGAAGACCCGGAGCGAGGAGGGCAGCGCGTCTCGGCTAGTGGGGTCTTTCGAGCGGGAGCTCGTCTTGGCTGACTTCGGGAGGCACTTCTGGGTGGATCTGAAGTGCCCACTGGCCAAAGACGGCATGGGCGTCACCGATCAGATGGTGGCGCAGATCAAGTTGCGGCTGCGCGTCTGTCCCCTGCTGTCCTCGTCGGAGTCGAGCGTGGCGCAGAAGCGCGTCCGAATCCTGGACCACATGGCCCAGTTCGCGTCGTCCATGTGCACGCAGAGCGTGTGCATGCAGGGCGCCGCCCCACAGGGCGCGGCCCCACAGGCCCAGCAGGATCCCGAGCCCGTGCCCTTCGGCGACGAGGCGGCGGAGCCGACCCGCGACGAGTCCGCGTGGGCGCTGCCGCCGCAGACCGCTGCCCCCGCCGGCGGCTGGCTGCCCGCCGCGCTGCTCGGCAGGCTCTGGGGCGCCGGCGGCGCGCGGGAGGCGCAGGGCGACGCCGCCTTTGGCGGCGAGGCCGTGGCGCCCGGGGCGGACGGCGGCAGCAGCGCCGCAGCCGTCGAGGATGACGTCGGGCATGTCCCTCCACCCCAGACCCCCTTCGAGTAACGAAGGAATCATGACGGGAGGGTGTTCGCTATTTTGGCGCCCTCGGGGCCCTTACCGGGCCTCGGGACCATCAAAAAGCGACTCGGGATGAAAATCCGGTTCTGGGGAAGAGATTCAGACCTCGGGGGGTCGACGAAATGAAAGAATCATGACGTCGGGGGTCTGGGACAAGGAGGATCATGACTCGAACGTAGTCGAAAAATAAAAGGTGGGCGGGGTTTTCTTCTTTTTGGGCCTGGTTTGAAGATCTCGGGCTCGTTCCCGTTTCTCTTCCAAGCTCCGCCCGCATAGGAGGGCATGCCCGAGCGCAGCCGAGAGGACTCTGCGCCAGGCCCCGAGCAGCCCGACCCCGTGGGCGCGCAGGCGCCCGCGGGCCGCGCACCCGGCTGGTGGCCGCCCTGGGGCTTCCGGGCGGCGCCCGCGGCGGCGGCGGCCCCCCCGGCCGACGCCGCAGCGCCGGGGCCCGGGCTGTGCCTCGAGCCGGGCGGCGGCGGCGGCGGCGCGCCTGCCGAGGGCGACGAGGCGCCGCTGCTGGACGCGTCGTCGGCGCCTGTGAGCCCGCTCGTGCCCGCGGATGCCGGCCCGGGCGGGGTGCCCGCGGAGGGCTCCGGGCCGGCTGCGGCGGGCCCTGCCAGCGGCGCGCCAGGAGGCGAGGTGTAAGTCGGGCGCGTCCCTCTGCAGAGGAGGAGTGTTCCAAGAGAGTCCGCAGAAAAGAGAGGCAGGGGGCGACCTTTGGGCTATTGTGGACTACGTTTGGATCTTTTTGGGGGGGGCTATTTGTAGCTTTTCCTCCAAGACCTGCCTGTAGGGGGACATGCCCGACCGAAGGCGAGGTGGAGGAGCCCGCCGCCACCAGCGGCGGCGGCGCGCCGCAGGACCAGGGCGCGGGGCAGTCGCCTTCGCGCTTCGCGGCGGTGCTGCAGTGGCCGCTGGCGTGGTGGGGGCGCAGGGCTCCCGGCGCGGGCGAGGCGCCAGCACTGGCGAAGCGCCCTGGCTTCCCTACGTAAGCTTAAGTCGTGCCTGTCCCTCTACAGGGGGAATATTCAAAAATAGTCAGAACATAGTCTGGGGACGATTTGTGGACCAATGTTGGATATTTGGGGAATATGTTTTGCATATTTTTAACTTTTCGCCCAAAATCCCCCTGTAGGGGGACACGCCCGACTTGAACATAAGCCCACCCAGGAATGTTCTGAGAGCCTCTTGGTGGTCTGCGCGAAATGTTATGGGAACATTTCTGGCTGAGCCTTTCTTGGTTCGACACATCGGGATTATGTTCTAAGAGCATGGTTTCTGTTATTGGAACATGTTTGGGTTCTAAGAAGAATTCGTAGTAGGTCTATAGGAATGCTGGGACGGTTGGTCCCTGCTCAAGAGGCTGCGCTGGCCAGCCCAGGCGGCTCCGTGCCCCCGCCGTTCCCGCACCTCCCCATGGAGGACGTGGAGGACGCGTCCTGCTCGGACACCCCGCAGTCGATGTGGTGCCGATCTGCGAGCGAGATGACGGTGGGCCGCCAGTCGACCTTCGACTGGGCCACGCCGAAGCCGCCTAACCACAGCCGGTTCGGGTCGGCGGAGGAGGAGTTGCAGCTCCCAGTCTTCACTGGGGGCCTCTCCGAGAGCACCCCTGCTCTGGGCGGCGTTGCGGTGTCGGCGCCGCAGGCTCCAGCCTCGTTGCAGGCCGTCCCCGCGAGCACCCGCCCAGCGGGACCTGGGCTGTGGGCCCGGCTGGCCAGTTCTTGGGCCGGCCAGGCCGCTCCGGCCGTGCCGCCGCCAGCGGAGGCAGCCACGCCGCTGCCGAAGGAGGCTCCGCGAGCCCAGTGGCCTTCCAGCCGCTCCACCGACGCCGCTGACTCAGCGGCGTCGGTGGAGCGTTTTGGGACTGACTCCAGCGTCTGGGACGTCACGCGGGAGGCGCTGGCCGGCGCATCGGCAGCTTTCCAAAGCCCACTGCCCGAGGGCTCTCGCGCTGAGGAGCGCGGAGCCCAGGGGCACGCGCCAGCGATGCCAACGACCCTGTCGCAGGAGTCGCCGAACGACGCAAGGGTCGGACTTGAAAGCCCTACGCTCGAAGATCCTCTGGCTGCGAGGCGTGGAGCCCTCGACCACGGGTCGTCGTCCCATTCAGTGGCGCTGGCACCTCTGCCGGAAGACAGTCCAGTCACTGGGCGGGAATTGCCTGAGCACGCGCCGGAGAGCCCACGGGCCTCAGAGCAAGAGCCTCTGGGGGACGCAGCTGCGCCCTGGGTGCCAGACGCCCTTCTGGCCGAGGGGCCAGAAGATCCACAGCGTGGGCCCGCGAGCTCGTGGGTGCGGGGGCGCTCTGGCGACCACGACCCCATCGTGCGCTGGGACACGGCGAAGGAGCTGCCCGAGGGCTCCGAGGAGCTGCCCTCGCCGGCCGCCGCGGCGGAGGACGCGCGGGGCGCCCACCCTCCCGCGGCGCCGGCTGACGACCTCGAGCGGCAGGCGCCGGCTGCCGCGCAGGAGCCGCCCTCGCCGACCGCCGCGGTCGGGGGCCCCGTCGCGGCGCCAGCGGACGAGCGGCTGCAGGCGCCGGCTGCCGCCTGGCCGGGGCCGCCTCCGGAGCAGGAGGCGGCCGCGCCGACCACCGCGGGGGGGGACACACAGGGCACTCCTCGGGCGACGCCGGCGGGCGAGCCCGAGCTGCAGGCGCCTGCCGCCGCACACGCGGGGCCGCCCGGCGCCACCAGCCCGGCCTCAGAGGAGCTCTGGTAGGTGCCGCAGCCTGCAGGGCCGGGGGAGGAGCGGCCCGCCGCCGGGCTGTTTCCACATGGTGCTTTTCGAAGTGCGCTTTGTCATCGCGAACATCCAGTCGGACAGGCCCCTCTCTACAGGAGGAATGCCCACACATAGTTTTAAAAGTATTGCGGGTACGATGTTTGTTCTATTTGGATTGTTGTTTGAGCATGTCTTGAGTTTGTTTTATTTTTCGTCCAAAATCCGCCTGTAGAAAGACATGCCCGACCTAATGCAAACACTGTCGACGGTGTCTTCGCTTCGACGCTTCGAGCAAGGGACCCGTCACGCTTCTTAGGCTTGAAAGGTCTGTCGCCCCTGGCGGCACTTTCGAGGATTCGACGAGCATATCCGTTGCTCTTTTGTACGATAGCATGATTATTCAGCAGGCAATGTATCACCATCGCGATACCGTCTACAGTAGGCGCAGTTCTGACCAGCATGTTGCCACGAGCCCACCCTTCCGTAACGGAGGTCCCGCCGGTCTGATCGTGTGAATTCGGGCTGCTGGGATTGCTGCGAGCGTTTGCCGCGTTCGGGCGTCTCCTCTCGCTCGGCCCAAAAAACAGACGATCCAAGAGGCCACCAAAATGCTTCAATACAGCCCCAAGAGGACCCCAAAGAAGACCCACAGAGACACAAGTTGCTGATTGTCTGTCACTGGTTGACGGACACTCGCGTTCTCGGCCTGTTGGGTTTCCAACGCTCTAAGTCGGGCCAAGAAGCCCCTCATGCCACCCTAAGTCGAAGAAGAAAAAACGCCATAAGCATCAATGTCTGGCGTTCCGCGCGGATTTTGTGGATCTGCGCTGGATCCCCTTGGCGGCGCCTCTGGCGCCGCCCCTGGCGCTCTCCGCGCGCCAGGGAGGGGGGACCAGCGCGGATCCCAAAACACTTAGCGGAGCGCCAAAAGTTTCTGTTTATGGCGTTTGTGTTTTCTTCTTCTTCTCCTGAGATTGCCCCAGAGGCCCACAAGAGAGCTCCGAGACGGCCCCAGGGCGCCCAAAGACGGACGTTTGGTCAGCCGCATGTTTCAAGTAGCACCTGTGCGAGGCTCACGCGGGCTCTGGCTTGACCTGCGGCCCACAGGACAGGATCTGTGAAATCCAGTCTTCCTTCCTCCAGGCCCCTTAGATTCAGGAGGGGAGAAAACACACAGACACAATAAATCGTCGACCCCCAGGAAAGTATAGGAAAATATGGGAAGTGAGGGGGAAGACGAAAACCCAGAACATATATGAAAATATGGGGGATTATGTTATTTATGTCTATTCATTGGTGTGTCCCAGGGCCCCTTCTTAGATGGGGTCGGAGTAGATGAGGCCGCGGAGGATCGCGCCGCATCGCCGATGCGGCTCGATGTGGAGCCCGATTTGCTTCACGTCGACGTCGCCGATGCATCGCCGACGTCGACGATGCGTGTCCGCCGCATCCCCGATGCATCGCCGATGCATCGCCGATGCATCGGCGATGCGGCGCGATCCTCCGGCCCCATCTAATCCGACCCCATTTAGGAGGCCTCTGCCTCCTCGTCGCCCTTCTCCCGACCTCCCCACCCTCTCGACCTCCACGTGCCCCACCCGCCGCGCGGCGGCCGCCGCAGCGGCAGCCTCGGCGGTCGCCGTAGGGCAGGCTCGGAGGTCGGAGCGGTCGGCGGTCTTCGCCCCCCTGGCTCCGTCCCTCCGTCGAGCTGAGCACTGAGCATCGTCAGTTCGTTGTCTTGGTCGCGTGCGTGCTGGCAGCGGATCGTGGGCACATCTGATTGGGATCGGCGTCGCCCCAACATGCGAATGCTATGTGTGCGTCGCCCCCCGAGGGGCGACGCGCGCGCCGAGAGTCTTCCAGTATGTGCGTTGTGGCGGGCGCTTTCTGGCCACACCGCTCGGAAAACGATGTACTACAAGAAGGGTATACTACATGCTCGGGTCGGACGCGCGCCTCCAAGGAGGACATAGTACTAGTATGTCTGTGTGCGTCCCATGGGAGCCGGAGTGCCGCGTTCGGTGGCATGGGGGGGCAGGTAAGCGTTGGCTGTAAAGCACCCCCACGTACCAGAACTGGGGGACCTGAGGCGCCACAGCGCCAGCCGTCTCGGGACGGACTCCAGGCCGATGGAACGCGTCGTTCGTTCGTTACCTACGTCGAGCCCCACCCCCCACCACACAGGACCAGCTCACGGACATCTGCGCGGGCAGCTCCGGGGAGGACACGGCGGACGGCGCCGCCGAGCTGGTGAGGATCATGGGGCTCCGGGAGGCGGGCGGGGTGCCTCATTCTTCTCCTCCTCCTCCTCCTCCTCCTCCTCCTCCTCCTCCTCCTCGTCCCTCGCACCCCCTCCCGCTGAGCGCGTGCTCTTCCTTGAACCACTGATCGTTGAGAGCTTGACTCGCATCATTGCATCGCGCGCGCCGACCTCGGCCATATCGCCGTTCGACGACAACGACGACGACGATCTCCTGACTCCTGTCCCTTCCCCTCCTCCTCCCTCTCTCCTCCTCCTGCTCATCCTAACGCCTGCTTGCTTGGCTTCCAGGGATGGTGTGCGTGTTATTTTTGAGGCTTACCTCGTAAACAGTTCGCAGGCTGGAGGTCTGAACAGCGCGGCAGTTATATCTTTTTAACGCACCGTGGTGAGCATCGCCTTAGTTTTTCGCACCCACGACATAAGGAACACAGCTGCAGACGCCGATCCAGCCTAGGAGGGGGATGGGAAGGAGGCGGAGGAAGAAAAGAAGGAGTAGGAGAAGGAAGAGGAGGAGTAGGAGGAGAGGGAAGAGGAGGATGATGATGAGGAGGAGGAGGATACCGACGCCGGCGTTGTGACCAACCCAACGGAAGACCGAGCTATGATGCGTCGCCCACGCCGCCTCGTGGTAAGTGGGCAGGTTGTCCATCCCCATCGGTTCGCACGCCTTGGACGAGGGAGCAACACTCGCAGTAGACACAGTTGTCAGAAGAGCAGATGCAGGCAAATGCAGACACTGATTACTCAGCATTCCTTTTTCTGCAGCCGCTTGTGGGTCAATCCGCACGACATCCAGTACCTTCGCCCCCTTCGCTCAGGAGACCCTGCGGTTGTTCCGAGGGTGTCGCAGAAGGAGTTGGACCAGATCACGCCGCAGGTCAGCACAGCACAGTCCAAGCACGACAAGCCAGTGGAGCAGGTCCAAAAGACAGCGGAGTACCTGGCAGCGTGCGAAGGTGAGCTCGAGAAGCTCAGGGCGAGACGGAGGTGGCAGACCGTGCAGCCAGCGCCATCGCTGCAGTTGGAGGTGGAGCAAGGTGAGGTCTGAGAAGCCAGGAAGGAGGTGCATGACGCGACCTCTGCGGTCAGCTTCTTGGATCTTGAACATCCCCGCCAGCGCGGCTCGGACGAGCCCACGGCGGAGCTGGCCAGCATCTCCGCGGAGGTGCAGGCTGCCGCCGCGGCCAGCCTGCAGCAGCGCCATGAGCAGCAAGAGAAGCAGCAACGTGAGCAGCAGCGCGCTTTCGCCCCCAGTCGCCGCCGCTGGCGCCTCGGGCGCAGCTGCTGCCGGGACAGGGGAGGCTGGCCCCTCCGCGGCTCCACCGCCCGCTGCTGGCAGTCATCTCAACATGGTGGCGCCCATGCGCGGCTCGGCCCAGACGCTTCGGCCACACGCTGGGCAGAGTCACCTCCTCCTCCTCCTCCTCCTCCTCCTCCTCCTCCTGAGCGACCATTTGGAAGCGATGCGCAAGTCAGTCGAAGACGCTGACATGGCCGGAGTGTCAGACCAGGCCCAGGGAATCAAGCATCAAGCCATGGAGTTGGTCGGCGAGGCTGTTCAGGCGTTCGAGGCGCCAAAATCGGGAGACACCCGGGTGCCGACAGCGCTGGGGTAGTCCAGGCACTTCGAGACGTCTGCTGATCACCTCGGCGCACGTCGCTAATCATAATCAGCCTGGTGTGGAGTTGCTGCGGCTGCTGGTTTCGCCGACGGCTGGTTTCTCCGACGGCTGGTTTCGCCGACAGCTGTGTTTGCCGACGCTGGTTTCGTCCAGCTTGCTTCGCTGACCCGCCCGACGGTTTCGCCCGGCTGGTTGCGCCGACCGTTCGCGTGTTGGCAAGCGCGCCCGCCGGCTTGAATGTCCCGCCCGCCTGACCCGCCTGTTAGGGTCCCGCCCGCCCGGCGAAATCCGCCGTCGGCGAAACCAGCCCTGGGGAAACCAGCCGCCAGCGAAACCAACCCCAGCGAAGCCGGCCGCAGGCGAAACCAGCGCCGGCGAAATCAGCTGATGCCCCCAACGGTACGGTCCTATCTGATTTGGCTAGGCCATACCAAAACCTTGCCTGGCAGTGATATTCCATTCGGAGGCAAGGAAGGACCCTTCGTGTAATGAAGCACCGTTTGGAGAACATGGGGTCAACCATTTCCTGGCCACCATAAACGCACACATGCACACACGTACACACACACACACACACACACGTAGCGAGATATTTTAGGAAGTTGCGTACCATCTTATTCCTAATTACGCGTCCTGGCGCGGAGTAAAACCGTTCGTCGACCTCACAATCACGACGAGGGTAAATGCTGGAGCACAAAGAACAACATCGAGACTTGATGCGGTAGGTGGTCAGATGTGACGATTATGGCTGCACCGTGCGACACCTTGTGCAGCACGAAGGCTACTAGGAGATGTTACCGAATAGTTGCCCCATCCGAAGGAGTACGCAGGCTACTACTCCATACGCGTGCTGTTACAGTGGAAGCCCATGCCAAGAAACACCTGCTCGCTTCCAGGGTGCCCTGGGTTTCTGGGGTTTCGACGGTTTTGCGATGAAAAGCGCGACGCCCCCACGCCAAAAATCAATGGATGTCCTGGGGTCTCAGGGCTGGGCTTCTTGTGGAAGGTTTTTGGTGGACTGGCCTCCACTGTATCTTTTGAGCCGACCATGGAGACCGTGGTGAGTACGTGTCGCCTCTCCCTCCCGTGCAGCGGCATTGCCACTGCCCCTGGCACTGCTGCTGCCGCCCCCTCGCTCCTCGCTGCTCCATGCCTCCTCGCTCCTCCGGCCTCCTCGCGGATCATACTTTCGATCTTGTCCCAGACCCCCTCGAGCAAGGAAACAAACACGACGGGAGGTTTCTCACAGTTTTCGGCCTCTGGGGACCCTTGCCCGGCCTCGGGACCCTCCACAGAACGACTCGGGACGACAGACCGGTCCCGGGGGAAGAAGCCTCGAGACCTCTGTGAAGGGGCCCTGGGCTTGATTACGTCGGGCACGTCCCTCTACAGGGGGAAGGTTCAAAAATAGTCAAACCATAGTCTGGGGACTATTTTTGGGGTATTTTTGGGCATCTTTCTGGGCATTTTCTGGGTACTTGTTATTTTTCGTCCAACATCCCCCTGTAGGGGGACACGCCCGACCGGGCACACGGGCCTCGGGGCCGTCCACACAACCACTCCAGAGGGAGCCCCGGCTCCGGGCAGAAGAGGCCGAGGCCTCCGCGGGCCGACGACGTCGTGAAGACCGCCCTGACGTCGGGGGTGTCTGGTGAGAAGGCGAAAACCCACCCCCGCCCCCAGTCCCGACCCCATTTCCGAACCCTCAATTCCGGGGGGTC